TAGTGTTTTATTCTTCTCAATTTTATTTATTTCTTCTCTGATCTTTATTATGTCCCTCCTTCTGCTGACTTTGGGACTCATTTGTTCTTCTTTTTCCAATTTTGATAATTGTGACGTTAGACTATTCATGTGGAATTGTTCTTCCTTCTTTAAATATGCCTCGATTGCTATATACTTTCCTCTTAAGACTGCTTTCGCTGCATCCCACAGAAGTTGGGGCTTTGTGTTGTTGTTGTCATTTGTTTCCATATATTGCTTGATCTCTATTTTGATTGATTATTTAGGAGCATGTCATTAAGCCTCCATGTGTTTGTGGGCCTTTTTACTTTCTTTGTACAATTTATTTCTAGTTTTATACCTTTGTGGTCTGAGAAATTGGTTGGTAGAATTTTGATCTTTTGGAATTTACTGAGGCTCTTTTTGTGGCCTAGTATGTGGTCTATTCTGGAGAATGTTCCATGTGCACTTGAGAAGAATGTGTATCCTGCTGCTTTTGGATGTAGAATTCTATAGATGTCTATTAGGTCCATCTGTTCTAGTGTGTTGTTCAGTGCCTCTGTGTCCTTACTTATTTTCTGTCTGGTGGATCTGTCCTTTAGAGTGAGTGGTGTGTTAGAGTCTCCTAAAATGAATGCATTGCATTCTATTTCCTCCTTTAATTCTGTTAGTATTTGTTTCACATATGTTGGTGCTCCTGTATTGGGTGCATATATGCAGGTTACTTTTGTAATGAAAAATTGTCCAGTTTTTGCTTCTTCAGACTGCTCGAGTCATTTTGACAGTAGTGTTTGGTAGGTGCTTTGTTTCTAGTATGACAAGACATTCCAGGCTCATTTGGTACAATTTTTACCCCAGACCAGGAGTCAACCATTTCTCAGGGAGCCTTTGTTTCTTTTGGTAGGAAAGGCTATTAGAGACTACAGGTAGAGTTATTCATTGCATCTCGTTATGATGTATGTTCATTTGTTTTTATTTTTTAAAGAACTAAAGTGTTAGTTTGTACTGTTGTTTTCCATTCAGATTCAAGATAACAAGGTTTTGTTCAGTTTCTTTTATGACATATTTGCATTTTTACCCTAAAAATCTTGTTTTCTAACAACATTGACATAATTATTTGCTTCATCCTACAGTATACCTGTTATAGCTTCAGTAGTCACATACTTTTGAAGCTAAAATCACATACTTTTGAAGCTAAAATCTTAATCTATATTTCACTGAATGTCAGTTACCAAACAAAAATTTCTCCTGAAAATTCATCATCCTTTCTTCAAATCTCTGAAGTTGCATTAAGAACTGAAGTATCAATTTCTTCACAATGTGATCACCAAATGCTATTATCTGCTCATTTCTCTGTGGCCAATATTTCCTTACATCACATTCTTTGCTTTTTACTTTTGTTCTGAAGTTTTCTCATCTGCAAAATGGGACTCTTAACAATCCTTGCCTTAAAGCATTGCTGTGTTCAATAAATAACTGGTGGAGGCAGAATTCCTAGTGTTCAATAAAAGGAAGCTATTGTTAACATCCAAATACTCTCAGTGAAACTTTAAGCATTTGAGAGATAAAATGCTTCAGGGTTAAATTATTATCATTGATTCACTAGTGATTATTTCACTAATCAGCAGAGGAAAAAAATATTTATAATCCAGTTTGTTTAAATGAAATATTAAAAATAGGCAAATTTTTAGACAGAAAGTAGATTAGCAGTTTCTTAGGGTAGGCATGGGAGAAATGGGGATTTACTGGTAAAAGTGTTCTAAAATTAGACTATGGTGATAGTTGTACAATCCTATGATTATATTTTTAAAAATTAAGTTATATACTATAAATGTTTGAATTGTATGGTATATGAATTGTGTCTCAATAAAGCTGTTAAAAACACAAATACATATTCTAGAACTTCTATTTCAGTACTACTGCCAAAGTGCCGCAGAGGCTGGTAGGACTTACACGTCCTGAAAATGGAAATGCACAACAAATGCAACAGGAGCTGCAGAGGAAGTTTCATGGTAAATTACCGCTTTTGATCAGTTAAATGTACATGACTCCAGTAAAGAGTTTTATTAGTTGAATAGAAAACAAAGGTTGTGTCTCAAAAAGACCTAGTTTGTAGTAACACAAATATTTTTTATTAAAATAGCATCAATGTGATTAGGAACAGTGGGACAATATAGATATCATATATTTCCATAATGTTTAGCCCATAAGTCTTCCTTTCTTCCACCAGAAAGCATGATACACTTCTTTTTTTAAAGGCTGAATTGATTTTATGACTTGCCAGTGCTTAATCCAGGACTTGAGAAACTCAGTTCTAGAGAAAGCTGACTGCTTTCTGGGAGACCTTTTTTTCAGATATTTATTGTATCATTGTTTTAGTAGCAAAACATTGGAAACAATATAAATGTCCTTCAATTGGAAAATGGACCTAATTGTTGTACATATATTTACTTACATGATGGAACACTCAGCAATTAAAATAAATTCACAGAATTTAGATTTATCAATGTGGATAGCCTGCAGAAATGTAACTGGGTAGAAAAAGCAATGATGTAAGTTGTTTAAAAACAAATATTTTTATGTTTATGTGTGCACACAAACACATGGGAGCGCGCGCGCACACACACACACACACACACACACACACACACACACACACTGGGTAGAAAAAGCAATGATGTAAGTTGTTTAAAAACAAATATTTTTATGTTTATGTGTGCACACAAACACATGGGAGCGCGCGCGCGCATACACACACACACACACACACACACACACACACACACTGGGTAGAAAAAGCAATGATGTAAGTTGTTTAAAAACAAATATTTTTATGTTTATGTGTGCACACAAACACATGGGAGCGCGCGCGCGCATACACACACACACACACACACACACACACACACACAC